ATATATGGAAAATGTTATTTTGAACTATATTCCTCGTAATATTAAAAAAAACTGAATATACTGAAGCTTTTTTTGGCTTAAAAATGTTTAGTCTCTACGTTAGGAAAGCTAATTATCAGTTAACAAACAATTAGTTAACTGAATTTGTAGCACCTGTGCAAACCATTCTTCGGCTGTACTTCATTTACACAAAATACGTTCTCCGTTTCGACCGTTAAACACATAAAATCCGTGTACTTTTTATTGTTGTTCTTTTAGAATTATCCATTATTACTCGAATTAATGAAGCTGCACGTTGCATGCTAAGTAGCTCTAAATTAATAAGTAGAGCTATATTAATTTTATTACCGAATAAAGTAAAGAAATACGCACACGAAGAAATAACGATGTGATGTCTTTCATCATTGAGAACAGAATACCCTTAAGATCATCTGGCACTTACCAGAAATGTAACTTAACTGATTTTGAATCTGCTTGCCTCCTTTAGAACTTCGTTATTGGAACAAACGAAATATACTTTCAAATAAGGGATCCTTTTGTGACAAATGTGGTGCCTTAATCATGTGTTTGTTATTTCATGGTATCTTATGTCTACATGGAATTTAACTTTTCATTTTGGGGACGTTACCTGATATACTGCTAATGATACAAAGAGGTTCCGTTGTTTGTGTGATATATAAACATTTTTATTCAGAAGCTTTTCCTGTAAAGTGTTGACGAACATTTCGAGTCCACATTGGGTCTGTTTGGAAAATAATTCTAGCGGCCGGCTGGTCTGATACGCAATTTCCCTGCTTTGCCTTATCAACACCAGGCGAATGCCAGAGTAGTACCCAAACAAACGAGTCACGGATCGCGCGCGATCTTTTCTTCCTCTTCCTTGTCTTATCCTCACCCCTTTCACACTTTCATTTACAGGAACTACACTTCCACACTTGCCGGGAGACCGGTCGGGAGCTTAGAGCTTGTCCCGGCTGGGGCGGTGCCCAGCCGTTGGGAGATACTTGCTTGGGAAAACTGTGCTGGCCGACGTGTAGGTCAGCGCCAGATCTCGCCATCCAGCGGGGGAATATTACTCTGTCACCTCCAGAGGAAACACGCACTACACTTACGGGAATTAATGGGCTTAGCCGTCGACGGAAACACAAAATAATCAATCAATCAGTGAGACTTTCTCTAACACGTCGGGTAGCCAGAATCCCTGCTTTGTGATTATCCTTGATACTGAAAACTCGATTGACAGCAACGCCCCTGCGTCTGTGGCCAACGCTAGCGCCTAAACCGTCCAGTTTCACTGTCGCCAAAATTGATATCTCCCGATCGATCTGGACGAATTCGAGGGTTTGGGAGTTTCAAACGGATATTTTAATTTTAAGATTGTCTCAAAAATAATTTAATTTTTTTTCTAAAATGGCTCCGAATGTTTTATTAAACTTTGTTCTGGGATAGCGTAAAAGACGCTTATTATTTACATATTGTAAGTAATAACCAACAATGCACATATTGTAAAAAGCAGTAGTATGACAATAGTCATATAGCAGTAATACAGTAGGATAGAATTTAGACTAAGTCACACGGCAACGAAATGTATATATTAGATTAAAAAATAAATATTTGTGTTAAAGAGAATGGTCCAGGTGGTTCGCTAAAATCCCTGATTTTTCGAAAATTACAAAATCTTTTTTTGGCCGACTTCCCGTAACTGCAGTATTGAAATTAGACATTTTTTAATGAAATCTTTTCTTTAATGACAGATCTTGAAATGAGGTCATGTTCAATTTTAGAAAACAAGAGTAGTTTTTGTGTAATTTGGGGCAAAATATAGGCAATTTTTAAATATTTTAAACATTTTTTCCTCTCGAAATAGTGCTCCAAATTTTCTTTAAATTTTATCCTACTTTTGGAAGCCCAAACATGTGCTGATGCGACACAAGTATTTCGCGTCCAAGTGAAGACCAAGTAAAGACAAACGTAGTAGGGAAATTTTGTGTATAAAACGGCCACGAACGAAACCCGTCTGCTCGCGATTTCTTTTCAGCGTAAGCACGGTCAGATCAATTTCTTAAAGGATCCTAAACGTGATCAGAGTATTGGGCCCACGAATGTTCTTCAAAAATTGAACAGAAAGAATCAGTAGGAAATACACGAAATCCTTCGCTATTTTAAAAATTAAATCTTTCTTTCTTTTAACGATCGAGAGAAAATCAACTCGCTTCCGCGAGAACATAGCGATGACAACGTGAGCTCGAGAGCGGAATTGGAGCGTATTCATAACCTGAAACTGCTAATACACAGTGACGTTTCACTACGCATGTCCAATTTCACAATGCATTTCACGACATGAAACATCCCAGAGTATGTTCAATACATGAGTTCCAAAGCATTTTACTGCGAAGTACTGTTTTGTACGAACCCTTCTAATTTGACCTTTGCCACTTCGCTAAGCATGTAGAAGTTGATGACAAGGCTCCAGGCGACTGCCTGAACGCTTAATATAAACCATTTGAGCCTTTCCAACTAATTTTATTCCAAATTCTTTTTAACTAATTAAAACGCTCCCTTCTAATTTTAATTACGAAAGAGAAAGCCCTCGTTTCCACCATGTGTTCTTCTCTTTCGTTTACCAATCTCGAGAATTCGGATTCGATTTATTAAAGGATAAAACCCTTATGTTAAATATGTATAATCTATTTCAAAGTTTTCGCCGCCCTGGATGGCCAAGAGCGTGTACTGACTCAGCGCTTCGGTTCCAAGGTTCGCGGGTTCGTGTCCCGCCTTGGACGTGATTGTATGTCCCTCGTGTGTGTTTCTCATGTATGGGCTGTCGCGGAACGCCTCGCGTTCTGCCGCCTCCAGATCAGCCCGAAGATGAGTTGATGTCTAATGCATGGTCAAATGTACCTCCCAACGGGACCGGATAACCGGCTGTCGGCAGGAAACAGCCCGAGGTAAAAAAATACTACTGTAGTCATTTTGTGCCTTTCATACAGCAGAAAACTGATGATGGCTAAGCCATCCAAAGCTGCTCTTGTAATTAACAATATTGTTGGCAATGATGACATATAATTACTTCATTGTAAATGTCAACGAAAACTCACCACAATACCAAAATGTTATTATAAATTTTATGAATGGCCGACTCCGTTTTTATATGGTTGCATAATACCATGGTCGTCGTCCCAGCCTGTACGGACTGGATGTTCTCTCTTAACTTACTCTGTAAAAAATAAAATGATTGGTTTGTGGAATATAACTATAAAAAATATTAGACTCATTTTTCTAATAACCTACATACGTTGTTTATTGATATTAACTTAGTAATTTTCTATACAATTTTTTTTCTTTACGAAATAACTTTCATTGGTATGACAATAAATTAAAATATAATCTCTTGGATATATTAAGACATTTTAAATGTTTAAATGTTCTGTTTCATCTTCTCTTTGCATAGACTTATTACATTTATTTGTACGAGATCTTTCTCGATGCTTACGATTTGTGAAGAAGTTGTACTCGTCTACTGCATTGATGACGAAGGGAAGTTTTCCCATGAAGAGTTTTGAGGGTTTTTTATATATACTCTCTGGTTTTGACGCCCTCCGGGAATTGTTCCATAAAACTAATACAAAAATTTGTACTAACAATACAACACACACTATTTACATTAAATCATTTTACGAATGTCTTGGAAGGACATGAATAATGAGAACTATCAATTCTAAGTATTTAAAAATTCCACGTCCCCTAAAATATCTAAATAACTGCTTCAAATGCTAGCTAACACGTCTTAATAGTTCTTAAGAGATCGCTATAACGTCTAAAGAGCATTTCAAGTAATCTGCGCCAAAGTGCTTCTGCCAAAGTAATGTGATGAAGAATGTCACCTCCATTTTCACTTTTCTTATAACTATTTTTGTCATTGGCTTTAACCTGTCTGCCAATAGTCGCGTATGCTGGTTGGTTGCCTACACATGTAATAAATCGTTACCATTGGTTGTCACTCCGTCCTCATTCCATCGTGTGACACTACCTAAATTAAAAAATATATTTTAAAATCGGACACGTTTTAAATCATGACTGTGTTTACTTTGTGTCAGGAATATCCAATGTCAAATATTTACTGTCTACTCCAGCCTCGATCATTGCTGAGCCACAAAAATTATATCATGATACTTGCCTCTGATCATTGTACAATATGGCTACCTATGTTCTCTTTGTAAATATGCTACAACACTTCCATTTTGTCAATTCCAACGTGATTTATTTAGTTATTGTTGTATTATATTTGAATCAAAATTTCCCTAGGAATATCTGGTATATCAAAAGAATTGATAAATTTGATTAGATTGTTGAAGATAGTGCGGATTTGGAACGTTCCTGGTTACTCTTAGCTATCCTCTACGTCCAGAAAGGAAAGCACGGAGCGGCAAATAAGCTTCTGAAACGAATACTCGGACATAACAAAGGTTACTGCAAAGCGTATCAGTACGCTGGAGTAATTGCAGAAAAAGAGCAGTATTATTCCGAGGCCGCAAAGCAATACCAGAATGCTTGGAAGTTTGGTGGTTATTCCAATCCTCAAGTTGCATACAGAATGGCATATAATTACATGAAGGATAGAAAATATGTACAAGCTTTGGATACATGTCAGACTATTAAAAAATTACATCCTGGATTTGCCGGCACATGTCTGGATATAGTTGAAATATGCAGAAATAATTTAAGAACGTAGAATATAGTTCATATTTGCATTTCGTCCTTTGCATATGTAGTTGTGCATAGTAGTATACTATGCACAAAAGTAGAATAAAATCTAATGTTGAACTTCATGGTATTCTTTTCCTTAAAGAAAATTTGATCTCCTTATATTGAACAAAAACAGGAGTACTCAGAAATGAATGTGAACTTGTCAGTTTGTCATTTTTATTTTAATGTTTTGTAGAAAAATTGTTTACAGAGCCATAGATCTAAGCAATCTAAGGAATTGGAGTAGCTTGCACAGCAATACTTTCTATTCCCACTTCATTCACACCCCGACGAATTCTGAAGTATCCGTTCTCGCCCCAACTTTCTCCCCAGCTGTTCTTCACAATCCAGTATTTTTCACCAGTTGCGCCATCAACACCATATCCCACAACAAGAACAGCATGATTCACCAACTAAAAGAGAAATTGCTTTCAATAAGCCATAAAACAGGCTAATATCTTGTAAAGAATTTGAAACATTATTCAAAGAAAATATATTCACTATTGCAATTTATTAAAACTTATGGATGACTCTTGACAAATTGGCTGTAATAAAAATGAAGAGTTCAATAGGAAATAATATTTCAACCTCATTATTTCTTATAATACTAATCAAGTTATTTAAATCTAGAAGTAATATAAATGTATTCATCTACCAATTGCAATACAGTAAATGGTCAATTAACAAAGATTACAAATAAAAAAATAGCAATGAACATGAAATTTAAATACAAGCACCGAAAGCAAAAATATTAAGGAATTTATTAGTTGGTATCATAAACTAAAAAATGCAAAGTTCTTCAGAATATTACAGAAATGGAATAAACATTTAAGCAACTTACCACGAAAGGATTAAATGAAGGACTTTCAATTCCGGTGTAGTGATATATTCCTCCTTTATAGCTTAGGAAATCATTATGAACTTCAAATGACACTGATATAGGACCTCCTTGAATAAGTGCAAGTTGCATGGCATACTCATTGCAAGCACCATAATACCCTAAAACAGATGTCATTAAAAGTGATGTAATAATGAAATTCTAATTGTTTAAAGACTGTTCATAATATGCATAGGTCTATATATCGTCATCATTGAGCACGTTCATAAACACAGCCAATATTCTAGAAAGGTTTTACGAAACCGAATATATCTCATAAGAATAATTTTGCTATTGATGGAACTAAAAAGTATTACTCACCTCCAATGTAATTGTAACGAGCAGTGTAATGCCTATAGCAGATGTCTCTTGTGCAAGGACCATCATGTCCTTGGTATCGATTGCATTCCTCAAGAACTACTCCAAAATCCTGAAACAAAAATGAAAAATCTGTTTCTTTTCACCACTGATTTCTTTGTAATTGTGAATACCGGTATCTATATTAAAATATCTTCTTTTGGATTGCCATTGAGAATTTTTCAAAAATAAATGGTACTTAATAAAACAAGTGCTGTCAAATTTAGAGGAACGGTATATGGCTTGGTGGTACCAACACAACAAAAATAGTTTTAACCGTATTTTTATTAAAAAAGTATAACGTATGCATGAAAATATCTCATCTTTACCAATATTAGGTCTTTTAGTACACATATTCGATCCATATTAGCTGACGGAAGATCAACTGTTCATAATTTGGAATTGGAACAAGTGGGAAAGTAAATAAAAAATGGAAAAGCTCCTGGTCTTGACGGCATACCAAATGGAATACTCAAGAATGTGACTGATGTATACCCCAAAATCCTTTTAGACGTCATGTCCGCATGTCTGAAGAAAGGAGAGTTTCCTAAAACGTGGAAACGGCAAAAATTAACTCTGCTACGGAAAGGGGACAAATCCCTGAATCTTACAGGTCCATCTGCCTTTTAGACACTATTTTCGAACAAAAGAGCTCTCAGTGAGACAGTGTGGATTCCGAAATTGCCTCTACGACGGTTGTGAAACTAGCTGAAGGGAAAGTGACTGTGCGGCGCAAAAAGGGCTTCAATACCCTTGTCGCATTAGACATCAGAGTCGCCAAAATGGGAATATATTCTGGAAGCACTCGAAAGAAAAAACACGCCAGATTACGTGCTGAAAATTTTATAAAAGAAAGAGTAATTATGCATTACTGCAAAGAAAAGATGGAGAAGGAAATGACATGCGGAGTTCCACAAGGTTCCAAAATCGATCCACTTCTTTGGAACGTTTTGTACGACGAGTTTCTTGAAGTAAGCTACTAGAGGGGACGCTGTTAGTTGGCTTCGTAGATGATGCAATCATTGCCAATCGGACAGACGCGAGAGCAACTGCAGACTGCAGTAAATGGCAACCTGGAGAGAGTCTAGAAATGGTTAGACAGAAGAGGTCTACGGATGACAACAGAGAAAACAGAAGCCATACTCGCCACAGATAAGAGAAACTATGTAAAACCTAGGATCTTAGTCGTAGGCACAGAAATAACATTAAGACCAGCCTCAAGTTCCTGGGAGTAGAGATAGACTCGAAACTTAAGTTTCGAGTACACCAAACATGTGGCACAGAAAGGGGAGGAATTGCAAGCGACCTCTCCCGACTGATGCGGAATGTAAGAAGACCGAAGCACTTCAAAAGGAGGTCTCTCTAAAGTCGTCCACTCCAAAATGCCACAGCACCAGTCGGCACCAATGGGGGCCGACAAACTAGGGATCCAGTGCTGCGAAAGAGAATGTCTTCCGTACAAAGTGCCTGCGGAATTTGAGTAACCTCAGCATACAGGATACAGGTCTCGCAGAGCACAATGCTGGGGGCACGGGCATTCCTCCTCCGGACCCCTTAGTGCTCGAAAGAGGGAAGAATGCAATATTTTGAATGAGCTACTGTTGAACTAAAGGGAACGGAAGAGGTGAAAAGAGACCCAGAGAAAAGCTCATGAAGAACTGGCAAAGATGCTGGGATCACGAAGAGACAGGAATGTGGTCTTAAACTCATTCCACAACAGTCCAAATGGACAGAGAGCACATACGGACAGCTGAACTGCTACCTAAGCCACGTATTGACTGGACATGGTGACTTCCTTCAATCAATACATACACCGCTTCGGTCACCGCCAGGATGCGATGTGCGGGTACTGCCAGTACCAGGCAGATGACGCAACCCATACCACCGTTGAGAGCGGAACTTGGCGAACAGAGAGGAAAACACTAGAGGATCAGCTAGGTCCCCAATTCACGCCAAGCGATATGTTAACAGAAAGAATGGAAAACGAAAAAAGTGGACAGAAATTGAAGAATTCATAAACATTATGACAAAAAGGAAAAGATAGCAAAAAACAAAAGAAGACCATCATAACAAATTGTTGGAAGAGCTGCTTCTAAGACCGTCCTCAGCGAAGCAATGCCTAACGGCCGCATCGAGGGCGGTTTTAGTGGGTAAACTTATTAGGAGTCCTACACTACCACGAAGGTATGTCGTGGTGTCTATAAGAGGGTTCCGCACCCCCCCCCCCAAAAAAAACAACAAAAAATCAAACAATATACGAGTACATATATACAATATATTCATTTAAACCTTTTTTGCATTTAAACATATTTACGTTTAAATCTTGAATAAAAGATAATTTTCACAACATAATTGACTATTCATCATGGAAAAGGGTACAGATAATATTATTAGCAGCTATGGTTGGACGGATTATTAGAAAACTTATGTTCTAATGACCTCACTCTCATAGACTTATTCAAATGATCTCAATTGCATAACATTTTACTTGAATCAAATGAATAAATGTAATTATAAAACTGAATTATGTATTGATATATTACACAAACTATATTACACAAGCTAATTCACAAAGTTAATGCCTTACACCAAATACTCACATGAAAAAAATGAACATAGGTATAAAGTGCTTACTTTTCCGTATCTTCCTGCTACAAGGTAAGGAAATCCACCTTCACAGCCTTGAAACAGTTCACTACAACTAACAATGTCCTGAGTTGAAAATACGGGAGTCTGGGTGTTGTTTGTTTGTACTCTGACTCTTGCTTCAAGCATACCCATGGATGAAAATGCATAGCAGCTGCCACAAGAAGCTTGATTCCTGTGAATGTGTGAACATTATTATTAATCAATTCTTATTGAACTTAATGATCTTAAATATTAAATAGTCATAACAAATTCATCAATTTCTTATTTTTGTATGTTTAATATTTGAACTTTCACGTGTATATACGCATGTAAGGAGTGATATACGTACGTAATGTAGAGAAAGTTATGTAACGCAGCAAAAAATCAATTTTCAATAGAAATCGACATTTCTTGTTTGGGGTCTCCTGATACCGAAAAAGTCTTTTTTCATTCTCCCAAACACACCATCCTTTTGCAAACAACACTAGCACATAAGTATGTATAGCAATTTGGCCGAAAATGGATATTCTACGGAGGGTCTATTGCGACTGAAAGCCTTACGATTTTCAGAAACCTTTAAATTGTAGGGGTACTTTATATGAATCCTCTTTTCAAACTTTTCTTAAAAATTGGTCCAATTATTTCGTAAAATTTCTTGTAAGAATAAAGTGAAACAATTATAAAGATGTCATTGTTACGATTTTCGCGGATATTCTTGAATTTTCGAAAATTGCAAACGTTTGTATGATTTCCGCGTCTTTCTACAACTACAATATTGAAGATAACGATTTTTTCTTGAAATGAAACTTGTTCTCTACAATTAGTTGTTTTATGAACGCCCTACTCATTTTTTGAAAATTTTAGTAGCACCGTGGAGGACAGAAGTTTAAGTTGATGGCGTCCAATCTGAAATGCACGAGTGGTTGCAACGTCAACCAAAAACTTTTTCTTATTCAGTATTGAAGCATTTTCTGTCCGATGGCGTAAGATAATTGACTGTAGAGGGGAATATGTAGAAAAGTAATGTACAATGAACTATTTTCTCTGCTGAAAAGTAGTGCAAAAAAGTTAATTGCGTTAACTGCGTAAAAGTTTCATTTGATTCTCCCTCGTATATGGTATTTGAAGAGACAATTCTCTCAAAAGAAGTTAATGGCAGAATACTATATATAAAGAGAACCTTACCTTACAGGAGATACATAATCGACTCCTTCCAAATTTCTCCAATCAAATGATTGAGGAAGACCAGCAACCTTTAACATCAACTCGCGTGTAGGAGGCACTGGCTGTGGACGGTGGGCTAGCCAAGACCTGAAAGAAAGTATCAAGAATGAAAGAATGAAAAAGTTGTATTTCTGAATGAAAGCATATAACAGTTTAGCATGTCTTACATTTTTCCTCCTCGAATTTTCAGTAACTCTGCATGAGTCTTTGTCAAAAAAGGTTCATGAACAGCAGCCTCCCATTTGTTTTGTTTCCTGTTAATCTTTTCTGCCAAGTTTGAAAAGTCTTGATGAGTTGGGCCAGATGATTCCTACATAAAAATGTAATAATTGTAGAATAGGAAGTTTTAAAGATTGTGCGTTAGTTGATGATCAGAGGATAGTTCAAAGTGTTTCCAAAGAAAAAATGTACTTTTTTCGGTACAAACGTGGAAGACCGCAAATTTGAAATTGGGGTGCAACTTAGCCTTGTAATTGCGCCCGATTTTTACCCGTATGTAGGCGCCCCTGCATACAGATTGCGACTGAATGGGGAAAATTGAAAATCTTAATACAGGAAACTATGCTTTTGGAACCAAAAGGGTAAATGAATTATTTATTTATTTTTATATTATAATAAGCATGGTGGTGTGTGTTTTACAACATGAAAGGACTCACCCTGAATTATGTTATAATATAATAATAACAATAAAAATTAAGATTGTTTTGTTTATTATCAATTGCAATTCAAATGCAATTTATTCATAGTAATGCAATTCTCACTTACCAACAAAAGGGAATGAAAAGGATCCCTGTGAACTTTAAGAGGCATTGGTCTCTGTTTCCTTCCATAAAAACATGCCCAGTGTCTTAATGTCACATCGTGAGACCAACCAGCCGAAGTTTTGTCACAGAAACTGGTGACATTGGGACCATCCTACAAATTGGAGAAATATTCAACATGACATAACATTTGAATTGGCAAATAATATTATTTGCAGGGGTATCTTCATACAAACTAGTGTCACAGAAAGGCACCGGCTTTCTCATACTAGTTAGTTTTCTATTTCCGGGACCTATCGCTGCATTGGGGTGTGATGAAGAGCGCCTCCGCGCAGTCGACATCGGAGGGCTCCCAGGCGGAGGTCCACTCCTTTCCTTGTTAACTCAGGATATTCCTTTTCTGAGCCCCATCGCGGTGCGTGTAGCGTAGTTCTTGTGATCGGGCCCACCGAGCTACAGCGCATGTGTCGCGGCAAGAGAGCGCGTGCTTTCACCGCCGGCAGAGGGAGAGGGGTCGGGCGCACCATCGGCAGGGAGAGGCCCATAAGCCGCGGGTTTTAGAGCTTTTGAGGGCAACACCGTCGCCTCTGGGTCGCTGGCTTGCCGCGAAAAAGTTGTTAAAGTACGGTACAGGTGCAACTTACTAAAAGCAATTTCAGCATTTTCTTTTAGTAAGTTGATATTATACTTCTTGGGAGGTTTTCGTCTGCCTATAATGGTTGAAGAACCCTTTTATATTGTGTTAGTACACTTCTCGTAGTGATATGTTCTTTTATTCTGTAAAATAGTTGCATTTTCGCGATATTAAGTTGTGTGCGTTACTGGGCAGGAGGACCTACTGTTCTCAGAAACCAGGAAAGATAAATTTTAGCGCCCTCGGAACAAAGAGGACAAAAGTGAATTTCGTGTTTGAAGCGAGAAAAGTAAGATAGTTATATCAAGTCAGTAGTGGCTACATATATAAGAAACACCATATTGATAATTCGCAGTTCAAACGCCTAAATATCTAAACATTTTTCTGTCATTCACAAGCGTTTCACCTGTAAACGTATGTAGATTTTCCACATTTTTGCAGCAATATAAACTCACTAAAAGCACAACACAAATGGGCTGTTATTTACGTGCACTGCTTGAACGTGTCGAACGTAGTCTTCACGCAACTCCCCACCGTTCGCTGGCAACCCTGAAATCTCCACGTGGCACAGCACACTATCCTCACTCTCCTTAGAGCCCCACACATTCCCTCCGAACTTCAACAGGCCTGGACCATGGCGCAAGGAGTAGTGAAGCTACTACAGCACATACGAGTACTTTCTCGTAATATTTCTAAATTTTCAACTTAAGAAAATTCAGAGCGATCATCGAAAGTAAGACATCTCCCATTATTTTAAGCGTTCCACTTGTACTCGTGGGGAAAATTCAAAGAAAATATTTGAAGCGGTTTTTGAGGAAATGTTTTTTTATATATTATATTAATTTAAAGCTTACATTATGTAAAATCTATTGGCTTATTCGAAACATTATAACTATATTTTACAGAGCTCAAAGTTTGGAACAGATTTTGCTTAATGCAGAAATCTCCATCTTCAATTTTAAAGTTTCGAAATGTTAGAATTTTCCAATTTTCGAAAAAACATAGACTTCCCAAGAAATGAGACTAACACCAGTTATTTTTTCCGTTCATTGATTCATATGACGAGAAAATTTAAAGAAAAAAGTGCGAGCAGATTTGGGGAAAAAAGTTGTTAAAATTTTAAAATTGCCTTATTTCACGCAAAATTATGCAAAAATACTCATATATTTGAAAAAGTGTATATGACCTGATTTTAATATGTCTTTAAAGAACAGATTTCATTGAGGAAAAATCTATATCTTTGATATTGTAGTTCTAAGAAGACTCCGATAAATATTTGAACTTTTGCATTTTTCAAAAACTCAGGGATTTCAACCAAAATAAGACTTGCACAATTTTCTTCAACGTCCTTTACGCTATCCGAGAACAAATTTTAATCCAAAAATTTGAATCCATGTTTGAGAAAATTTTGAAAATGTTGAAAAATAGCTTTATGAATGGTTCCGGGCACGTCAACAGCCAAAGCCATTAGTCCCGTAAGTGCTATGCATGTTTTTCCCCGCGAGGTGTCGGCGATCTTCCCCGCTGGTTGGTGAGATCCAGTGCCAACCTGCAAGTTGGCTAGAGGGATATTCCTCAACGAGGTATCTCTCACCTGCGGGGCACCGCCCCAACAAGGACAAATAACCTCTAAGTTCTCGAATGTATGGTTGTGTCGTGTACAGGGTCCGCGGTCAAAATCCGGACAAAATTAGATTTGAATCTCCCGCGCTTTTATGCCACTAAGATGTCGCGATTGTTACACTGAATATCGTATACCCATCTACTAAGCAGACATAACCTAAAACAGCTCGCAATGTTGAGACAAAGCGAAAGAAATACAAAGAGCAGCGATAATGAAAGTGTTCGCGCTGGTCGCTCAGCGACGGAGATTATCAGCTTCTCGATATCCGAGATCGACAGTGATAGATGATCGTGGCAAAATAACAAGGAGTCGAGAAGTCAGAGAAGGTCTCTAACACCCGCGCAGAAAAGTGCACTGCGAAGAGCGCGTAGTCAGACGCCAGAAGTCATTCAACGCGTTCAAGAACTGATTTTTGAGGATCCAGGACAATCGATCCGAAAAATTGCGTCGCTTGTCGAATAAGTGGACGACACTATGCGTCAGATTGTCCAGGAAGACCCCGTTACAAGTCCTTACACCATCAAGAAGTTCGACAGATGCTTTCTGAAGCCGCCAGGACGAAGAGAGTTTGAACGGTGCAATCTTCTTTTGTGCTCCTTACGGAACAAGGCGGCTGACGAATCAGATTTTTTTCCGACGAGAAAATTTTACGGTAGACGCAAAAATTAATCGAAGAAATGACCGCTGGCTTGCCCGCGACCGCTGAGGATGTCCCTGTGTGGTATCGAGAAACAAAATTTCCGGCCAATGTGCACGTGCTAGAGTTTGTTTCGTCCGAAGGTTGATGTTATGCCACCTCATTTCTTCCAAGGGGAAAATGTGACCAAGGAGGTTTATGTGAATGTCTTATCTAACGTTGTGAAGCGTGGATGGACAACGTAGCATTTGGAAGGCCATATGTGTTCCAGCAAGACGGTGCGCCCGCCCATACGAGTCATTTGGTGCAGAATTGGTTATCGGACAATATCGACATGTTTTGGTCGAAGGAATTCTGGCCTCCCAACAGCCCAGATTTAAATCCGTTGGATTATTATGTATGGAGCGTGGTTGAGAGAGTGACAAACAGTCGAGACACCCGAACGTAGCATCTCTCCGAGTCGCTATTGAAGAAGCATTCGCCGAAATGGACCGTATGCCTTGCACCGTGCCTGCGAGCGGTTCAGACCCAGATTGGAGGCGTCGTTCAAGCAAGTGGGGGATATATAGAATAAATTTATTCCATATGATCTATCCATTACGTGGTAAAAACATTTTGTTTAATTTTCATGTTACAACAAAAAATATAGTGTAAAGAAAAATGTTCAATTTGTCCGGATTTTGGCCGTGCACCCTGTATATAAATGTAGATGTGTGTGAGTAAAGTATGAGAATACAACTAGGAATAGGAAGGAAGATCGCGGACAGTCCATGGCCAGTTTGTTAGGGTTCTGCTCCGGTAATCGTCTGGTGCTGATCGGAGAAACCACGGAAAACTACCGATCAGATCAGTCACCCACTAGAATACTCCTCCAGACAGCGACTGGATCCGACCTAGCTGAGAAGTTAATGTTAGTTCTGCCATTCTCGGGACTCGAAACTAGGACCTCCCGGTCAGACGGTCAGAGGCCCTGCAGGATATCTATTGATGCCCTGAGCTACCTCTGTTGGTCCACCAGAATTAAAATACCAGATTCAAAATCAAATGGCTTCCAATTCTTTTAAATCGATCGAGGAATATCAATTTTCGAGAAAATCGAGTTTTGACTCGAATCGGTTTTGGCGCTGGTATTGTCCATTCACGGGCGGACAGACGAACGTTTTGCCGTCAATTGATTTTTCGGTTTCAATAACTCACATAACATGGATTCTGACTATACAAATTTCTATATGCTACGTTAAATAGCATACACTTCCCACTTAAAGTTGTGGTAACTAAGTAATTCCTAGGCATTTTAGGATCCCCTGGATTCCAAAGACTTCCCCATGGGACAATGAAGTTTCTTTTCTGCATTTACTACCAGCAATGCTAAATTGCTCCATCGTAATTTACAAATTGTGTGTTAAGTTTTATAGAGCTTCTGATAGCAATTAACGAGATAGTCAGTAGATCGCCACGAGACGTGATCCCCAAGGTTTTGAGGGCATAGACTGTGAATCTTGGCATAGCCCCAGAGGTTCCAAACACCACTGGTAGGATTCTGGCGTTGGGTACTCCATAAAGTTGGGTTGCCAGAGGGATGACTGGTTGGTATTTTACCACCTTTTCCTCCCCTGCTTTCAGAAGGCTAGACCCATCTTCGTGACGGACACGACCACGTGGACCCCTTCCCGGCTTTTTATTACCAGGTCAGGCTTGAGTCTAACCCCTTCGGCAACGGAGAAAGTGGCTTCCGTGGACACCACTGTGTCCGATTTCCGGAGCATCTTCCCATCTATTTTTGATCTCGTCATGACGCTTTAATCTTGCTGGCTTCGTAAAAATGCACTGACCAACGATGTGATTCATGGTTTCTACCGCTGTATTGCACTTCCTGCAGTATACATCCTATCTGAGCCTTCCTCTACTAAGAGTAGTTTTATTGGCAGCGGTATTTGATATCAATTGGAGTGTAGTGATAAAAAGACCAGGTTTCAGAAGATGATAATCTTTCAAATAGGCATTTCCAATCGGATGGTTTATATGTGCTTTAACCGCTCTCCCTTGGGATCCCAGCTTCTCCCAGGCGGCTACCTCGCCATCGGCGCATTTTTTCTTATAAGCCCTTAAATCGTGTTCAGAATAGGGCCAGTTGAGTCTCAGTGATTTTGCGGTCTTTAGTGTCCGTTGGTAAAAACTAGGACAGGAGCTCAACCATTTGCAAATAGGATCATCAGATTTTTCTAATCGTAATCCTAGGTTCAGCGCAACTCTGGGAACGTATTGGGCGAGCCGCAGCAATCCCAGACCTTTGCCAGGTAGAATAAGCCATCTGCAGTACTCATATGCAGATGTAGGAACTGTTTGACTGCCACTCTGATTTGACCGTCCGCTTCCCTGAGCATCGACATTGATGGCATGGATAGAACCCATTGATAAAGGTAATGTGGCATTATGTAGGTATGAAGTAATGCCAACTTCTGAGTGGGCTTTAAATGCGCCCTTTGAAGTCTCGACACTGCTTTAGATGGGAAGCCGTTCCAGAGAGAGTGGTTCACTCCCAGGTATGTAAGAGTATGATCATTGCTGACAAGGGGAATTCTCTCCCCCAACATTTCCAGACAGGAGTCCTCAATGGACCAGGATCGTTCAAAAATTGTAATTTGAAATGATGAACATTTTGCGACGGACAATGTCATTCCGAGGGCCCCAAGATATTCGACCTCAATATCTACCAATTCTTGAGCTCCCAGGGCATCTTTTACTAACAGCACCAGATCGTTAGCAAATTCTAACACAGACACACTCCTTCCGAATAGCGTGTATCGTGACATATTTTGCAATTTCTCAAGCAGGCACTCCATGATGAGATTAAAAAGGAGTGGAGACAAGGGATCCCCCTATTTTATTCTTCTACGAATTGGCACCTCAATTCCTTTCGAGGGGTGCTGAATGACTGGAAACATCGTTCTAAGAGTCCATTACCAAATTGGTGAAGGCGCCAGGCAGCCCTTTCCTAGACAGAGCCCACCGAAGAAACCAGCACAGGGATTTGGCTAACTGTAGTCTTCGGGGGCTAATGACCCTGCGCGGCGATGGGATAACAGCAGCGCTAGTAGGTCTAGATAAATCATCGGACTACGAACCATCAGATGGGGACGAAGATGACTCTGCAGTGACGGTAGCTGCAGTTTCAATGGTTGCTAAATATCTTCGATATGTAATCTCTTTTTTTCACCCACCTGTCGGGCGGTCTTACACAGTAGAGCAGCCAAATTCTCGTTCGACGTCTCTGGTTGCTCTTTCTCCAATGCCGCCATTTTCTTAATTTCCTCCGAAGAGAACACTTTCCCTGCTCTAGGCACAACAGTCCTACCACTACGCTGTGCCTTGGCAGCTCGAGCCCTATTAGCTGCGTCTGGATGAACATGGCGCAAATGTTGTGAGAGCCCTGATTTGGTTGCGAAGTTGGCGGAACATAACTCGCATATAAAGTCTCCTTTATATGCGAGTTATATAAAGTTCTTTCGGACCCGGGCACTTTGGGAAATGACTCAAAGCTGATAGCTTACCTCTGTAATTCTTGCTGCATTTGGAGCATGAAAAGATTAGTGGGGTATTACTATGGATAGTATCGTGATGTCGAACCATGTTATTCAAATCAGTAGCCATGTAGCCACCCCCTCCTTTCTAGACCCAATGTGCGCAGCGAGTCGCCTCGAAGGGAACCCTAATCATGAATCTTGGCTGCACCTCCAGTTGCCCCGAGATGCATTACCAGGGGTCACCGCACGGAGGTGAGAGAATGGACTCGTCGGCCACGCAACGGCAAACCCATTACAGGCGGCTCTTACGGCCATACGATTGCGATCCAATTACAGGAGGGCTTCTCAGTACTTACTGGTGAATGTTTACTAGCATCGCCTACACCACCGAGTCCCTGGGCGACATCGGACCCCCAAGTTAGTGGAAGTAATTTACTATACATGGGAACGAGATTTGCCTATTTTTTTCGTTACCAGAGTTTGGCAATAAGAGGTATTTTTCTGTCGAAAATTCGCCGTTCTCCAGTGCATGATTACATTTTCTATTCATTCGAAATAAGTGCGAGAAAGTAAAGTTGGCGATGTTATATTAATATTACTATTAAATAAAAGAAATTTCAATTCACATATTGAATTATTTACATTAGTTGTACAAGTTGCACATAAATTATCGAACACTTAACATGTGGTGGTTATCACAGTATCATTCTATTTTTTGAGCTGTACTGAAAGTTATGTACTTTTGATTTGTTACATTGGTATATGATGGGCGGTATGTAGTGTGGCAGCACCAATTGTTTTATAAGTTGTGTATAATATTCGTAGATTTTCGAAATATTACTTGGATCCCTTAATTGTGGAAAAAGTTGCTAATGTTGATATTTTTTGGATATTTTAATTCGATTACAACAGGTATTATGAGTAATGTAATTTATAATAATAGAATTTGCTTTCATATAGTGGAAGTAATATAGTAGACGGATAACAATACCTTACCTTAATGTAGTATGACCACGCGAAATACGTTCGCTCATTAACTGTCACTTCGAAACCTTGATTGTAAACCATAGTCCAAGTTCCAAAATTTCCAAACTCATCTTTAGCAATATTTGGATATTGCAAATCTATTTTAATTTTTCGTATCGCTTCTACAAATGATTGAGATATTACATTAAATTTCCCATTCAATAACAATTTAGTTTTTCATATATCTTTATTCAGGATCACGATCCACAAGAAAGGAAACTTACCAAATGCTGAGCAATTTTCATGTTTGTACTTATTACGTTCTGATTCATAAAACGTCCACTTTCCGCTTACATCAGCAAAAGAGCAGTTGGCTGGAGTATCTGCATAGCAACATGCTATAATCTGAATGCAAACTATTAGAAAAAAATGTATTTTAATTGCCTCCATTGCTGAGATCTGAAACAAATTAGAGCAATATTTCTGGTTTTTATATACTTGTTTCAAGTACTCTACCTTATTAAATAATTATATATTTTAATTTTACCAAGCTATAAGTGAATTTGTACATTAATTTGTTTTTGAAGCGTAATGTGATAACTATATTTTATATAAAGTACGAGTACTGCATAACATTATTTTTGAAACCTAATATAAAACAAATTGCAATCATTAACTGTACTTAGATGTTATTTCCTTGTATTCCTATCCCACAAGTATTTAATTTAAAGTAAGTTACGTCCAAATATTTGCAATATTCTGGAAAAAAAGATTCAAAAGTTCACATTTTTATTGAATTGGTGAAATTATAAAATAATGGAATTTAATTGTTTTGAGAATACACATCTTTATTAAAGCGAAGGCTCTCATGTGTCCCTTTCTCCACTTTCCATTCCCTCCGTTTCACCTGTCACCGCTCTCTCTCTCTCTCTCTCTCTCTCTCTCTCTCATGCTCTTTCCTTCATCACTCTCTGTTGAACGCAATTGCCTACATGGTGGCCCGTGTCTGCGGGAATGAGTGTCCTGGAAGTTAGAAGGGTCTGTACTTGCTCACTCTCTTGCCGCCCCTATGAATGCGATCTACATGTTCTTCGTGTTCGGGCTTTCAAGCTACGCTCAAATTGTTGTTAAATTTCGTAATTATCCATTCATACTTGACGTTGCTCTTTTGGTTACTAGTAATATCTGATTCAACTTTCTGTACACTGGCGAGTTAGGAGAAGGGCACTTTTATTCTATTTGGAGCTCAAAAAGTGTAGAGAGATTTTCATCATTGAATACATTCCTGTGTTTCTTTTAAAAGTTCATTGTCATTTTTAAGTAAAACTTTGGATTTGAAAAAAAGTTATTTTCATGAAAATGTATACAACTATTTAAGAAATTATTCAGTTTATTTTCATAAGAACCTAATTTAGAAGTTTAAAATGGATTTAAGACTAAACATCAGATGCCTTGTATTAATATACTTTCACTCATTTAAAATCATTGTTTGTATTTTTACGTGAGTTTTCGCGAACATAAAGGTCAGTCTTACGCAAGTCACTGTATCTTTCTCTTTAAACAGAATAACTTGGATTTGAAACAGTTGAAATTAAATCTACTATTACATTTCGATATGACGAAGTTTCTGGACACCCTTCTACTCTTCGTTTGTTAGGAGGTCCCACCGTTTTCGATTATGTTGTAAGTGGCACTCAATGTTATATTTTAATTGTAACGTATTTTTTTTACTGTGGTGGATGAAGGAATCTATGCACTTTTAAAACGTTGCTTGGTCGTTGATTTGATTAATTTATGCACGGTAATATAAAATGCAAAGAACCCAGCTGATTTGACACTAATTTCTGTAATTGAATAATAAATGAAAATTTTATTTCGTTCCATCTACAATAAAATTATCTAGCGGGAAAAGTGAGAATCCTCCATAGAATCAGAAAACACAAAGTATTAATGATGTCACAGAACACTAGACGGAAAAGTGCATGCGACCTTGAATCTACAGGATGCGACTTTCCTGTAACTGCTGTAGGAGGGAAGTAGCGCATCAGCTTTTAGAGGTAAATTTATCGTGTCCACCAGCTTCAAGTTCTAAGGTGTTATGTTGAATTATTTATTAAATTTCGCTATCTCGCTGTAAGAGATTCTATAGTTTAGGAATTGTAATTCTACCATCTTTTGCAAGCAAAATCAAACGTGGATACGTTTATGTATGGATCTCCCTCGACCCGTTTGTTTCTGTACAAGGGGTCCTGTAATACTAGTAGATGTAATACATACCGCGCCGCTATCGAGTAATACGAAATGGAAAACTAACGTGACATTAACGCGAAAAATCATTGTGCGCTACATGTAAAATTATGTACATTCAATTAAGTAAACAAATAAAAATATGTTGTAAATTCTAAACAAATGAAGAATTATTGATAAGAAAACATCGCTGAACACCATACTTGTACCCCGAGAGAGATCCTTGTTGCGTTACATGTCAATAAGAACCACATTATCATAAATGGGTAATTATTTTAAAAAAATCAATAAGTTTCCACTAATAGGTATAATATATAAGCAAATACACCGAAACAGTTGAAGTTAAATCTACTATTACATTTCGATATGACTAAGTTTCTGGACACCCTTCTACTCTTCGTTTGTTAGGAGGTCCCGAAAGTTAATAGAAACTAGAACCGAAAAGTTGTGTAGTGTTGTTTCAAACAATAAGTTTGTAATTCGTTTCTAAACTTTCAGATATACTATTGCAGATGCTTATACCTTCAATCTGTTAGTGTCATCTTTTATTAAATGGTTTGTTTTGATAACTTGATAATCACTCATTTATTTACATCAGTTACGAAGTTCTCATTGACAAAATCTTTTTTCTGAATATTTATCTCTTTTCGACCAGGAACTAAACTTCGAAGGCATTGCATTATTGTTGTTGTTTCACTTTTCTAAAAACATTTCTCCTTTCCGGATTGTAATCAAATACATCAATATTTGACTGCGAGACATAAAATGTAGGAAATTGCTTGCGTGCACTGAATGAAACCAACGCGTTTTCAAAACATCTAAGGGATCTAACATGTTTTGTTTACTTTATTTTTCCCCTACTGCATGAGAGCTACAAAAATATTTTCTTTCAAACATCAAATAACATAAATCAACATTATACAAAACGAATTATTGAACACGCGGAGGTCCTTAGAAAATATTAATTTAATATGTACTCATGGAGAGGATCTAATGTGAGTTGTGTTTCTGAATGCGCTGAACGTGAACTCTGACAAACAGCAGTTTTTTGGTCGTCTTTCCGAAATTTTAACCTCTCTTGGCTACTACACTGACGCGCCTCTTGTCTCAGCTCCTTGGCAACGGCTTTTTAAAGGCGGAGAATCCTAAATCAGGTTGGGCATACCTTGAAACGCTCGCATTTGCAGTGGCCGCTGGATCACGCTGGACTCCGCTCCGTCCCCGACCGCACTGGACCTCGCGTTGCCTGGCGCCGCCCTCCGCCCTCGCAGACCACCCCCACCCCGCCCCACCCACGTCGCGCCTGGCGCACTCGCTGCGCGCTCTGCATTTCCTCCTCTGCCCCCCCCCTCCTCCCCCCCGTCCCCGCCACCGCCGCCAGCGCCCGTGGCCTCCGGTCAGTGGTAGACTCCGGTGGCGCAGATGAGAAACGGCGAGGAGATTGCTCTGGATAGCGCTGCCCGGAATTCCCACACAAATTATGGTTGAACACCGACTGAGAATAAAATGTATTAAAACATTTAAATAATAATAATAATGGGAACTCATTATTTACAGACTTTGAAAGTCGTAAAAAGTACCGATTAACTGCCGCAATCGAAAGCTCGAAAAGTTTCCCGAATCAAATTTGATAGTAGTACATGAAACATTAAATAGTTCGACACTTAATGCGTACATCTATTGAAGCTTTGGAAGCAGCCATTCATTTTATTTTACCAACGAAAATAGAAAGTATGTAAAACTGGCAAAAACCGTCATCTGTCATTTCAAACAGGGGCTACAGCTATGTTAGTTTCACACGCTATCATTTCTCTGTTTAATAAGGCGCTTTCTCAATTTCTGTTAGTAAGTTTGTACAGAACTAACAAACTTTACTAATACTTGTGAACAGTTCATAGAATTAAGTAATTTTACTTCCCCCAGTGTGATATTTATAATTGTTTAATCTATATTAAGTTTAGTGAAATCCTAGATACTCTCTTCTTGTTTCTTGGGCCTTTGTCTTCCCACAAAACATTTTCATTCTTTCTGTGAATGTTTTGAATTTAACTTTAGCTAAAATGTTTACTTAAATGATACAAAATTGTAATTGTAATTCCTTACAATCACTGCCCATGCCCGAGTATGAAACTTCTCCAACCGTTCTCTTGAGTGTCGTTTCTTTTCTTCTTGTAGTAAATTCAACTTCTTTAGGTCGGTTTACAGCACTTTCTTTTGTGGGCATACTCCACACTATCAATGTGTTTATCTTTCACTTCCTCACCCAGCTTTCCAGCGACTTCCTGCGTTATGTACCTCGCCCCTACTCTCTTATTTCCCAGGCGCCAATCTTCGTTGGGGGGGGGGAGGGGGGGGATGATGAGGGAAATTCCCCTCCCACCAAATTTTTCATTAACTATTAATTTTAACTTCACGCGAAACTTTTAAGTAGCAAGTGGTGCTAAAACAGCACGTATTTTCCCGCCCGTATTTTCACGCAAAATTACGCGAAACATACTCAAAGTTTCGAAAAATTGTCCATGAACTTAACTTATTTCAAAATTTATTTTTAAGAAACAGATTTCACTAAGGGAAAAAATCTCTATCTATAATATTTTAGTTATAGGAAGACTTCGAAAAAATGTTCACCTTTTGCAATTTTCCAAAACTCACGTTTTTCAACGAACATGAAATCTGCACCCATCTCTTGAACGTTCTTCACACTACCTAACAAAAACATTTAATAAAAACCGATGGAGTCTCTCTTTTGAAAATTTGGAAAATGTTCCAGGTCACTCATGCAAAGTACCCTCCAAAATTGAAGTATTAGTTTCGAATTCCAGGGGCCGTACCATCAGCCAGATCGATTGGGGAATTTCAATTTTGGAGAAAATCAGCTGACCGGTTTCGCCGCTGGCGTTGGCCACAGGCGCACAGACGTTTCGCCGTTATTCGATTTTTCGGTTTCAAGAGCCCACAAAGCAGACCCTTGCTACACCGAGTGTTAGAGGATTTTTGTTCTAAATTTAGCAACTAGATTTATTCACTTTTTCGTAACCAAGACCCTGTAATAAGTTTTCAACCGAAAATATGCCGTTTTTTCGCGCAGCATCATATAATTTTCTCTCTACTCCCTAAAAACATTTTCGGATAATCATTAAATCGTATCGCAGCATTAGCTGAATTTAGCCTGCGTCATTCTACATGATCTGTAATGTGACGTATTCGTCCAAAACATTTTGAATAAAAAAAAACTATCTGAATGTGTCGACTCAGATTACCCTTCACCTATACATTATTCCGCATAAGCGGTAACGAGAAGTAACCAGAGGGATGAAGACAGATTACCTACAAATCGGGTGGATCATGTGAATCACACCCCATACGAGAAGCGTCGGTGCATTAGAGAGTGAGCAAAGTTGTTCAACTGCTGTACTATATGTATGAATACACGCGGAATTCAGAGACCACGGAGTGAATATTTATTTACTTTATGAATCATGCAGGAAATCTCAAATATAAATTGTATATCTTTATTTAACATAATAATTTAAAAATTAACGACGCAACGCCTGTTTGTCTACGATCAACGACTGCGCCTAAACCGTTCAGACAATTTTCTCCAAAACATATTCCATGATGGATCTGACAGTACTCGACGCCTTGCGAGTTTGAAACCGATATTTGGATTTTAGGGGTAACTTTACATGAAGTCTCTACACCATTTTCAATCTTCTCAAAGATGGCTCCAATTTATTATTTTCTGACGGATAGAGCAAAAGTCTCTTAAAAATAGCGTAGGTCGCATTTTTGCTGAAGTTTATAAATTTTCAAAAATTCCAGAAGTTCATATTTTTTCACTATCTACAACTATAACATTGAAGATTGGCTTTTTTCCCCTTAATGACATCTGTAATCTGTATCTGATAACAGCCCTTTAAATAACGTAATGAATAATTTTTCGAAAATATGAGTACTTCATGCATAATATTTGAGTGAAATAATGCAATTTTTAAACAATTATTTTCTGAAAACCACCCCCAAATTCTTTATTTATTTTTTCTATTAGAGCATTAGACGCTTAAATAAATTACGCAGGTCTCATTTTCGGCGAACTACCGATACTTTCAGAAATTGCAAAAACGAACATTGCATTAATAATATTGATAATAGGGATTAGTTCCTCATCGTAATCTTTTCTTTAAAAAAATAGATATTTAATTAAGGTCCTGTACATTTTTGAAGTGAACGAGTTGTTTCCGTGTAATTGTTTTGAAGTTTAGGCAATTTATATAAAACATGTTTTGTCAAAAATAGCTCCAAATGTTTCTCTATTCTTTTCCCTCAGATCGAGTAAAAAACGCTTCAAAAATTGCGCAGATCTCATTATCATTTAACGCTCCGAATTTTAAAAAATTACAAATGTTACAAATAATGCGAGAAAATATGATCTGTTGTATCATCACTAGATTCATTATTTTAAATTTAATGTTTATATGATCAAGAACTGTTATTTTTCTTACTCAACCCGGTGTTTCCATTCATATTTGTATCATTTTCGCATTTCTTACACCTGCATTTATCCGGAAGGAATCATCCTTGTGCTTGAGATTACCCGTCCCTGTACTTCCAGTCTAGATACGCTACAACGTTGTAGACCTAACTCTATCTACAATTCTGGAATTGATTGTCTCATCTTCCAGTGCGGTAAATGTATTACTACTTCTGGCAGTTACTTTTGAGTTAAAAACATTCCCGTGACACGTTTTAGCATGTGTTTGGTTTTCATTTGACTGTCCCTCGTAATATCTAACTATAGATTCAAAGAACACTTCTTGACTTACAACGCCGCCGAAAAAAAGATCTGGGAAAGATTAACGCTGTCTGCAGACTATCTAAAAACAAGAAACAAATTATTCGACGACAGCATAATAGCATGTACATTCATTAGAAAATCATAACGGTATTAAAGGGTGAAATATTGTTGTAAATCTAATCTTTTGTTCTGTGAGTGCAAAAACCATGAGTTTTCTTTTGTTTGTAAGTATTGAGGCGATTGTAATATTTTGAGTAGATATTCTCCGAAGGAATACAAATACTGTTTTCTGAAGTCTTAAATTCTGATATCTGTATTTCTCTAACGTACCATTCACATCCCTTAGTTTCCTAGCTATACGTTCACTTTTTGTCGATTAACTATTTATAACGTTCTACGACAGTTTATGACGCAGGGCGAGGAGCCGATAATCCCAACCCAAAATCTATTCCCAGTAGTCCAGGTTTAGTAGAATGTACTGTGGATATTGTCCGAAACCTTTAAGGATAAAATTCCGAATTTCTCGATCAGTTAGTCCACATCGCGTCTCAAGTGCAGTCGCATTCCGTAAAAAAACAGTTTTCTGCCAAGACGATTTGACTTTTCCGATTTTGGTTTCTAATCCATTTTGAAATCTCTGAATACGAATCACTACAGTTACAAAAATGAAATTACGTTGAATGTCATCTTTGAATTGAAAGTAGGAGTATAGCCATGACGGAATGAAGAAGAAAGCCACAGAAAAGTATAAATTCGAAGACAAAATATCAGTTAAACTGATAGATCAGCTAAAATGAAATAAATTGCCAGAATTGTGTTTTAATCGATAAAATGTCTTGAACAACAAAATTGTGTATTTTCGTTCAGTAACACCAAAATAAACAAATAATCACATACAGATGACAGAATAAGTATAAATTATAAAATGTAATATTTTATCTAACTTGTAATAGACAAAATATCATATTTTTTAACTGTTCTTTATTAAATAATGACTTGGCACATCTTTTTTTATAACACATCTTCGTCTATTGCACTCGGACACCATGGCTCTCGCCATTTTCACTTGGAAGTTTGCACCATACTAACAAAATTACAGAACAGTTTTATTTCATTCTACCAAGTGACACGCATGACTTTCATTCCAGCAACTTTTGAAAAGGATAACAATGCTATTACAGAATCAGAAAGTAAACCATTATTTTTGCATTATTTCATATAAATCGCAATTATTAAGCTTATAATTGCACCTCTCCACTAGTAAAGATCAGAAAACTTACATTGCATAAGGAAGCAATACATCCCTTGTTTGATAGATATTCTCTTCAAATGCATGTTAAAACCGTTTCACGAGTAAGACGTGTCACGTCAGCGGTAACGTAATTCATCATTCGTCGGAAGACTAATCGCATATCTTTTGATTGGAGGAAACAAAGTACCTCTGTCAGGGAACAAAGGTCCGCTCAGCATTACGACGAGAGGGGGCAATTCGTCAATAGAAATCTATGCGACCGCTTTTGTCGCAACCATTAATCGAGACTATGCTGTATTTTGATTTGACTTTGAGAACACGAAGTTCAAAAGAAGAGTAACTCTAATGATAATTCATCTTGATTGTTTTCAGCCTCTACAAGAAAATTACTTACGTATCAGGAGTTTTTATCCTCTCTTGACCTTGCCCTACACCATTTTGGGAGAAGACCTCTTAGCGTGCAGGTGTGCTTGAATATTGAAAGCAATGTTCGAGGTATCGGATCAATCGATTTCTGAATATCTGAGGAATTTCTGCGATGTAACATCTATACACGGTCTTAAATATGTTACTGAGGCTGGACGTCATTGGTTAGAAAGGTAAGCTGCGGGCGATTTTAGTCTGTTAGAAAGCATTGCTTCAATCACAGGAGCGGCGAGAGAAAAGGGGGCCATTTCATAAAATGAAAACGTACATTTTTTAAATACTCATTTATAACATTAATTTGACTGATAGATACGAATTAATTTATTTTTAAGGCTGAGTCTGCAGACCTGTTTCCCTACGCCCTACTTTTTGTGTCATATCCAAACCCATATCATTTGCCTCGTTCTGCTTGGGAATTCAGAATATATTCTCTGTAATTCCTTTAATTTTTTACTGATACGTTATAGCTTGCTCTTGCCTTTGATACGGAGCTCGATGTACTCGGCATAACTTTTACCTGGATCGAGAGGATCCAGGTAATCTTTTGGGATCATGTTCTTTTATGGAGAAAGTAATGAAAGGAAATTATGGAAGGGAAATATAAAAGAAGAAACCGAGTATAGTTAACAATTGTATTAATTTGTTGCCTGACATCTCATTTTCATCTGTTACTAGGAAGCTTCTGGATATTTCATTTTTCCTCATGGTGATATGTTTTAACTAGAACCAAGATCCTGCATATCAGATATTTTAAAAATTACAATTTCATTACTTCTTGTAATTGTTTTAGGGGTATACGAAGTTCTATCTTTATCCAAGATGGTACTTATTTCAAAAATTTCAGCACTTTCTCTTTCAATGAAACTGCGGGTTTCTTGGGTTCAAATCCTTTCGACTGTTTTTTAAAAATGCAGGGGAACGTTTGTACCACGTAACATCAATCTGCTTTTCAACGAGTAGCATTTTCTTCCTCACTCAAGAGTTTTACTGGAATAGGGATTGCATTTGATACCGAGCTCTATATTCACTCCGTAACTTGCCTGGTTCGAAAGTATCATGATTACGAAAGAAATATGAAAACAGTGGCATGATGCTACATGTTCTCTTCTGGAGAGAATTTTGACGGAGGGGATACTGGGAGGGATTTATGAAAATACAAACTGGGTCAAGTTAACACCTATTTAATTATTAAACAAGTAAATCTGAACCATTATAATTAGGTAAAAAATAAAATCTTACATCACGGACGTTAACCAATTCTAATGGCTATCGGCGACAAAAAGCTCGACAGCCTTTGGCCCGACGCCATCTTATGACGCTTAAAACGCTGCTGCATAAATATTTCTTGAATTAAGGGTACTCCTGTGCCATCTTTACCTTACGGCATCTGTTTTGATTCTTCTTAACGGATGGCGGCCGTTAACATTCTTAGCGGACGTCCGCAATTAAGAGCGACTTTCGGTGTCGTTATGTCGACTGTCAGTATTTGGAGGCCACTGCGTCGGAATGTCGCGTGCCACACCCTTTTATGCCTCCCTTGGCGAGGGCGGAAGGAGCGGCGGTGACGGGGTGGCGTGCCCAGGCTGCTGTGGATGCTGTGCTGCTGCCTGAGCGTGGTGGGGGCCGGCACGCTCATCTGGGAGGTGTGGTCCAGGTACCGCACGTCGCCCACCATCACGGGCATCGAGACCACGCACTACCCCATCTGGAACGTGCCGTTCCCGGCGGTCACCGTCTGCAACGTCAACAAGGTCTTTCTGCCGGCGGCCGAGGAGCTCTACAGGACCAAGTAGGCGGCGCTGTAGATCCCCTCAAAGCCTTACAATTTAAAACAAAATCGATGTTTTTAAAACTGCATTACTTACATTAACGTTCATGTGGGGGTAATTTAGGTATATTAATATTTATTTGAAATTGAATTGACAAAACACAGTGAAAAATGAGCAGGATTTATCATCTGTTGATTGGAAAATTCAAAAATTAGTCTTTATTAATCGAAAAATGAAAAATCGGTTTTGATTACTCTCACTCTTGATCACATTGATCTGAAGTATGTTCAGTTTATAAAATACAGAAAATCATTTCAGTTTTTATTATTATGGCACTTTTTCATTAAAAAATAAATATCAAGTACGTAAAAACAGCGACCATAAATGATCGACGTTAATGGAACGTCGACTTAAAAAAAACGTTAAATCCATCGATGATTTTTTTAAACATCACTGTTTTAAAAACCTTGACATGGATGTCGCATTTCGAGGCAGTGCTTCGTGTTTCACAAAATGGCATTACAGTCAGGGGGAGGGCAGACGAAGCGACAACATACAGATACCAAAAGAAGCATTTTGCTCCCAGCACCAACGTCACTGTTTTCCTCACGTTTGTTTTAATCCTAAGAGACCAAGTTCTCTCTTTCCCCATGTGGTGTTTTTCGAACCACTCACTAGAGTCTGGACTCGCACACTTTCGGGTTCCTCATGTCTGGGGCGAACAGAACGAAGGCAATACAGAGGGCCTTGGCAGAACCCGATGTCCTCCACCACATAATGAAAGGCAAGAAACAAACATGCAGATCCTCACCCTTCGACCTGACTAAATCGCGAGACAAAAACTACAATTTTATTCTACAAACAAAAAATAACTTTTTAAATGTATTAATAGGCGCTCATGTTTCATTTTCAAAATTACTCTCGCGTGGCAAGCTGACATTAAAATTTTCTCCCTTTAACTTCTAATCAGATACGAGTGAATAATCTACTGAGGACCTGGTTCACTATGCGTAGCTACCACGGAACAACAAAGATAAAACATAAGCGATGACATGTCACACGAATTGATACAAGCGGAGGTCAGTTTATAGAGACACTTGAGGGACTAAAGCTCCATTATGTTAGTCAATATGTCAGAGGAGATGAAATCGTAATCGTTGCCTTCGGCCAATGGAAGTAAATGAATCCAGGTGGCATTCACGCACATGCTGTACTGCACGGACCGATGACCACATTCCAGGCTAGCCACCTGCACCAGTCCTTATCTATATTTTTTTTTATTTTGGCCACAATTGGCGTCTTTGCCAGGTGGTAGCCAATTAATTTCATTATACAAATGTAAATTAAATATAATGTATTACCTAGAACACTGTATACCCCAGCATAGCAAAAAAGCCTCCATTTCACGCGTACACATGTGAAACTCAGACTCTCTGCACACACCCAAATACGCACGCACCACGCACAAATACGTATATACTCACACGCCCACACACACATACATACATACTTAAACACACACATATTCATATATACTCATATACACATATACATACGCATATGCATATACACACGTACATGTGCGTATACGCGTATATACACACACACCTACACATATACACACATACATATATACACTCCAAAAATGTACTTACAGCTAATTAATAACATCTAATTATACTCTATCGTATTCTATTGTATCTAATTCTAATCTTAAATTTTATTTCATTTACTTTATTCACTTCTGCTACGTCTTGCTACGCTGCACTACTCTACCCGTCACCTGCACCAGTCCTTAGCTCCCCGTCACCTGCACCAGCCCTAAAGTGGTACTACAACGTCTCATAGTTCCTCATTTTATCCGTAATAGTTACGAAAATAATATAATTATATTAAAAATTATGTTGTATACGAGTACTTCAGCAGATGTATGCACAACTCTTTCATCGAACTTCTTGTATCTTAATACACCATAGCTGTATTGTAGAATCTTTAATAACTCACGCCAAGTAAAATACCGTTTTTTGGTATGAACCTTTTTTCTGTATGTCAATTTCTGGCAGGAACCTTAGTTCGGAGCTGATGGAAGAAGAGTATTACAGTTTCGTGATGCAAATGGCAGAAATTGTGCAGCCGGAGTCAGTGAATCAGTTTCGTCAAAACATCACCCACCTGGAGGCCGTCTTGCAGCGCCACGGACTCAACATGGAACGACTCATGTGGAAGGTAATGGTCACATATTGGCATTGCGCCCTGAGGAAGGTCGCGGAATGGCGACCGAAGCGTCGGCACCTCCGCCATGGACGCGGCGACACCCGGACAGCCTAGTAAATACTCCGGCCGCGGAAGCCAACGCTCTCACTGTAATGGTCACACTTTCCAATGGCGGTCAGAGACAGGGCGGGAGATTGGTGTTAAGTCCGAGTGGGTGGTTTTGCCAGGGAGGAGTCCCCCTACACCCTCCATCTCCCCAGAAAATGTATATGAAGAGAAAATTACAAAACAGATATTTTTCTAATCTTCATGTTCATCATTATATTGTTATCTCATTTATTTTATGTAACTTCAGCAGTTCATCTTTGCAATGCAATTATTTGTTTTGCATTTTTTTATATAAACTCATTTAACAATTTTTGCAAATCGATTTTCTCGCGTTTATCGCTAAAAATATACAAAATCGCAATACTGCTCTGCCGAATTTTCAACGTATCATATTCATCGCAAATAAGTTTTGAGTCGACGCAACACCGAGAAACTTCGTTAATATCTGGAATTTGACATTTATGGAATATTTCTCTCAGCCCAAATTTCTAGTGGGTGAAATACTCACTCGGAATTTCTCTTGTGAGCTTTCTCTAGCAAGCCACCATACCCTCATTATCCTTCGAGCCTCGACAGAGGAGGGGCTCCCCCTTTTACTCAATTAACTCAAAATAATTACAGTATTTACATCTCATCACTTCTAACACAGGATTCTCTTTATCAGTGTAGTCGTACTTTTTTTAAATTCAAGCTAAAATTTTGAAAAAAATATTACTGCAAAAATATTTGATGGGACCGAACTGTAATTGTTTAGATTAGATTAGATTTATTAATAATTCTGCCATTAAGTGTGAGAACTTGGTAGCAGAATACACTAACTTAACATTACAGAACTTAACAACTTTACAAAATTTACAAACTTTACAAATTCACGTGAACATTTCACTGTGCAATCTTTCATAGAACTCCTCTTCACCATACTTCACTTCACCGCACTGCAATACATTGAGCTGTAATGTCTTTCTTACACACTCTTTTCTCTCAGTTTCACAACGTCACTGCACTTCACGCCACTGTACTGCACATAATAATAATACTAATAATGATAATGATAATGATAATAATAATTAATAATAATACTTAATTACATAGAAGACATAGTTAATTACACTGAATTTTATTAAATATATTTATAACACACATATCTACATTCAAGAAACTAATTTATTTTTAAATTTGCTCAGGCTTTGAGGAAAGGGATCGAAGATTGTCACAGGCAAACCGTTTCAGTCCCTAATAACTGTTCTCTCCTTGAAAGAATGTCTGGACACGTCTTTGACTCTTTAAGTACGGATCTATTAATTGCAGTACAAAAGGCCATAAGCGACATTATTATTCGCAAATTTTCCCCACAATACTTAGTGTAATTGAGTTTAACATTCGTTGAGTGAACTGAATAAACAGCTTCCGAAACTGTGTAGTGGATTCACTTCTTAATGGATCACGACTTCTGAGTTATCAGATTGTAATCAACAAATTTATAATGAATTGAAGATTGAATAGAAAGATAATGGACGTTTGCTGTAGAAGAAATTAAATGAAAACGTTTAAAATTATTCCACAGTTACTCAATTGCCCAATCCACGATGGATGATTTCGGAATGTATTGTATCTCGTTCTGTATCGTTGTGCACTCTTGAGTATGTAAAATATATTATTGACAAAATTTGTTAATTGCAGAAACTTCAAAAGGTTGTGTCACAGCAAGGTTTGGATCTTATCTCTGGAAGTTCAGTTTTCATGTCGTTGCGGAAAGGATCCGATAATAATGTTTGTTAAACTTTGGACTAGTTATATAATACGCAACTATGTTTCCGCGTGTTTTTCCTCAAAACTTAGGAAACTTCCTGGGTGATTACTATAAAGATATTATAAGATTCAGGAAAGGACTGTTACTGTTACCACAAGAAATATAACACCATATCTTATTTATTAAGTGAAACTTTAATGTAAGAATTACACACCTTTGTGAGCGTTTAGACTCGCGTGAAGCATTTTTACTACTGCATGGACACAGAGCTTGGAACTACATGCTAGCGTTCTACCAATAAAGCCTAAAACGGAGAGATTTATATTAAAAATCTGGGACGGAATTATTAATCGATTAATGGTAACAATAACCGCGATTACCATAATGGTTATTGATAGAGAAACGAAAATGACGTATCAAGAGAAGTGTACTGTATGTATGTATGTATGTATGTATGTATATGTATATGTATATCACCTGGTTTACCGGTCACACCCATAATATGGCTCAGCAAGACATTCGAAATTTTGTGTCCGTAGATGCGTGCTGACGTTTTCATTTTGGCTCATTATTTTCAGATGGACCCTTGATATTTGTGGTGAAAACGTTTAAAATCTTTCGATGTTTTTGGAAGGAAGACACTCCTGGTTCGAAGTAAATACATTTTTAAAATAATAATTTATTGTAAATGTCGTATAAAAGTAAACGCGAGTCTGTTTAAACCGATAAGTTGATTAAATTGATACATGACGTTTCAATTTATTATTTTCCAATTCGTAGAAATCGTCACCGCTACCCGCAACTAGTGGCCATAGTTCATTTTGAGATGTTGGTGCTTGATTCAAAGTTGGCTTGTTTAACCAACTGGTGAACTAGATGTATTTACTCTACTACCTTTTCTCGCCTTTCCTCCTGATTGCAGTTGACGCAACCCTGTTCGTCGCTGATGATCAAATGCAAGTGGCGAGGCGAACTTCTTCCTTGCGAGTCGCTGTTCGTCATGCAGAAGACTGATTCCGGGTTTTGCTGTTCCTTCAACTATTTCCCTCCCGATGACTCGACGTAAGTAAACTTCTGAAGTAGCAAAAGTACGAGGACAATAGAAGCGCTTGCTAGAAGCGTTCTGCTTGGCTTGGGTCTCTCAGGATACAGAGGTCTAAGGAAGTAAGAGTCACGAAGCTATACAGCCGGTGTTTTCTCGGGAGCCCGGATTGCTAAACTACCTTGTTGACGGGATAGAAACAAACTATTATCTTTCATGTCTCTGCTTAATAGAACATACTCAACAGCGTTTGGTAATTTATGAAATGCAACTATTTGATTAGTAATTTTCACTGCAATGAGATAAGATAAGATAAATTTATTTGAACCGCAAATGGGCATGGCCCGGTGGCAGCTAATTGCATAAATAAGATAATACAGATAACATGTAAATTATATAATAATAATAATGATAATAATAATGATGATAATAATAATAAAAATAATGATATAAAACTGTTTGATTCATAAAACATTGAAAATTACCTTAAAAAAAAGAAACATCATAATCACACTCGGATGTACAAATCGGGATGTATATATGGATGGATGGATGGATGGATGCATGAAGGCATAGCTGCATGGTTGCATGCCACGTATAATTTTGTCACATTAGAAGCTTCTGAGGTGAAATTTAGAAAATAAGAGTTACATCTAGTTGTGCTGTTCCTGAGATCATTATGATATTTTAATTTAGGAGGTACTTTACATAAAATCCCTTTCACTATCCATCCATCCATCCATCAGTGCAGACATTCCGATATTTACGTACATAATTGCGTGTATCTCCTCGCCACCTTCATCGACCTTAACCACCTTTGAAACAGCTCTAGCATACGTTAATCGGTTTGCGCGCAGCGGCGGCGGGGGCGGGGGCGGGGCGGCGCGGGGAGCGCGGGCGCCGCGAACGGCGCGTGCTAGCATCACGGGGCTGACGATGCTGATGGACCGCGCGCCTCGACGGCCTACTTCGCCGCGCGCTCTTCTCCTTCTACGGGCTTTCAGGTGCTGGTGCACCGCGCCGCACGGAGGTACCCCGACCATCATGGCGGCGCGGCATATCCTCGCCCGCCAGCCGCGAGGCCTTCCTGCAGGTGGGCCGCCCTCCCCCTCCTCCTCCTCCCCCTCCCCCCTCCCCTCCTCCCCCCCTCCTCTCCTCGCTCTTCCCCTCCTCCTTCCTCCCCATCCCCCTCCCCTCCTCCCCCTCCCCTTCCTCCCCTCTCCCCTTCCCCCCCCCCTCCTCCCCTCTCCCCCGCTCTCCCCCTTCACCCCTCCCCCTTCCTCCCCCTCTCCCCTCTCCCTCCCCCTCGCTCCTGCCTCCCACTCCCCCTCCTCCCCCCTCCTTCCCTCTCCCTTCCCCCTCCCCTCCCCTCCTCCCCCTCCCCGCCTTCCCTCCCCTCCCCCTCCTCCTCCCCTCCTCCCCTCCCCCCCTCCCCCTCCCCCTCCGTCTTCTTCTTCTTCTTCTTCTTCTTCTTCTTCTTCTTCTCTATCTCTTTCTGCTAACAAGCATTTATGCTTCTTTGCAATAAAAAAGCAAAAATTTTGGAATATGATATAAACATAGTAAAAGAAATGTAAATGATTAGGGACAACGAACGAACTAGAATATACTACATAGAGTGGCTGAAGCGCCTCCATCTTTGACGCAAATTGAAGCTATGATTTTTTGCCGTCAAAACAGCGCCCTCTGGGAAACAAAGTATTCTAGCATTACGCTTGGCGCTGTTTACACCCAGGTTACACCGCCCCTCGTATGTTTTGACTTCAAAAAACATGGCGGCCACTAGTTCGGCGAGCCTTAAACAAGAGCGCTGAAACTATAGGAACAGCCGCTCTATGTAGTGTATTCTAGTTCGTTTGAGGATTTGAAGAATCATTTAGTCCACATGCATCATTGAAGATAAAAACACAGGGCAAATAAGGCACATTTTCCCCATGACAAAATCTACATGGCTCGGGTGTATTGAAGAGCCAAATAGCCGACGTGGGTGGCCGAGATCACGAAGATGGATGAGACTAAGCAGAATGGGCTCGGAGGGCCCCGGTTTCCAATTCCACCTCGAGCGTCGGATGTTTTCTTGTGTGGTGGGGCGTGATTGGGGCTTCTTCAAACCACCATGCATCTCCTAATAAAATAACTATAATTTCCCTTCCCTTTCTTCGGAGTTGTTCGACCGATGTACGACAGAGTTAATTACGACTGCCACCCGATAAATGGAGGAAGTAATGATAGGAAAGCGTCGTTACTGACCTAGGAGCTCAAGCAGCAAGTTTGTGCGGATCGCTACGGGCTTAACGGCTACTGCAGCGAGACAGGGGGAGACGCTGAGACAAATAACCCTGGGGGTGAAATGGTTGAGAGTTGAGCTGAGGTTGAAATGGTTGAGGGTGAAATGGTTGAGCTTGAGTTTAAGCCCTAGCGGGTTAAACGACGTTAAATGCCCAATCATGAAGATGATATGTAGGCCCAATGTTGATTTATGTCTGCCGTTACATGGCCGCCGGGTTAGGTGGCTCAGGGCATCAATTGATGTCACTGCAGTGCCTCTGACCGGGAGCTCCTAGGATTCGAGTCCCGACGGTCACAGAATTTTCGACACTAGCTACGCTTTCGATACTAAGTCGAATTCAGCCGCTGTCGGGGGGATAATTCTTGCGGCCGGCCGTTCTGGAAGTTTTCCGAGGTTTCTCCTATCAACACCAGGCAAATGCCGGAGCAGTACCCTAACAAACGAGACACGAACCGCTCGTGTCCTCTCCTCACGCCTTGCTTACACACACACATCAACACTTGTCGGGAGACTAGTCGGGAGCTTAGAGCTTGTTCCAGCTGAGACAGTGCCTCGCTGGTGGGAGATACCTGATTGGGGAAGACCACAACAAACCCACGTAGATCTCGCCACCCAGTGAGGAAAGATCTCCGCCGCCTCCCGCCCTCCACTCACGAGCCAATGACCTTCGCAGTTGACGCGCCCGCAATGACCAATCACTGGGTGCGTTCGCAGATCTCGGCCGAGACGACGTACAGCACGGAGCGCGCGCGCATCCTGTCGCCGGGGCAGCGCGGCTGCCTGTTCGACGACGAGAGCGGCGCCGGGCGCACGCTGGGTGCCAGCACCTACTCCTTCGGCAACTGCCTCGTGCGCTGCAAGCTGGCGCACCTGGCGCGCCTCTGCAACTGCACGCCCTTCTTCTACCCCGCCGACGGTGAGGCTCGGCCACGGCCGTCCGGTGCCGGACAGCGCCGAAGGAAAAAGCATTTGGCGTTTGCTTGCCATTCGTATTTTCATATTGAAAGGGTGGAGTCACTTAATGAAGATGACGGCCGTTTTTTTCATTATTAGTACTATTATTTCTTACTATTTTTAAATAATTGTACTTTGTCGTGCTGTTAAAATGTAGTGGAAGGGAGAAGACGTTACGAGCTTTGGTAATGAGCGTGCCAATTAAAGTCATTAGGCCGATATAGAGAAAATAACCAACAAACTCCGTTATGTGGATATCTGCCGGATATCGTTCAATACTTCTCGTAGTACCACTTTATTAAAAGAAAAATATATAAATATGAAATACTTTTTCTTGAAGAAGACTTTACATCCGTCATCTTTAGTTGTTAATCATGTCATCGTGAATGTAAGAATATCCTTACAAGGAATTAGATTGATAAAATCCTTGGTGAAAGAAGTCACCTGGTTTGATCCTACTGAATTTTACATCTTTTGCCATCTGCTCTCAGTACTGTAAGATACCTTAATGTGGCCTATTATTTCGGAAACGGCAAAATTAATTTTTATTTTTGATAGTTTCTCTTCTGCTTGTTTCTGTGAAATTACTCGTAGTTTACTTGAACGTTGTCGTAATCTCTAATACCTATTGTGAGCTCTATTGATTATACTTTCCCGTTGTTGAGGTTTCTTTAATACAAATTCACCTATATAGAACCTCAACAAAGTTGCGAATTTCACGTGGAACCAAAACGATTATGTCATGCTTTTAATATTCAATTTAATCATTTATGTATTTGTTTAATGTTACAAAAAAGCCTTCTAGTGCATGATCTGTTTCGTATGTAAACAAATAATTCCATTAAAATATATTTTCATTTAACTTAGATTGCCCCAGAGCAAAACTTTACTTTCGTACAATTCGTATCCCTCAAATGTAGTCTTTGCTCGTGGTTCCAGGTCAAAGACAATGCGGTCTCTTGGATGTGACATGTTTGGCTAAAAATCGGAGTAAGTAGTATATAAACATATTTGTATTCATCAATAATGACATCAGGGATATTGCGCCATTTGAAACGCGATATCTGCGCTGCAGGGACGTTCAACAACTTGAGCCCGCAATCGCGTGTGCCGGGCTTGGAGGCCTCAGAGGGCATGTCGTGCGACTGCCAGCCCGCCTGCACCGACGTCGTTTACAACGCCGAGTTGACCCAAGGACTGTTCTTCAAGAGCGAGTACGACCGGACGCATTTCTTGTAAGTGGGGCTACTCAACAACAGCGACAAGTGGCACCAGAAGTATGCGTGTGTGAAGTAGTGGTATGGTGGTTCCACGTCAAATTGACACGCCTCTCCTAATGTGACCGTTTTCAATTTTCTTGAAAATGTGTTAGCAGTTTTTTTTCTAAAATCTGATAGATTTGACTCGAGTACGATCGACACGGATTTCTTCAATTTGGAAAAAATCCTTCGCATGGTTTAGGCGCTTGTGTTGTTCACATACACCAGGCGAACGGACATTTTGAAGAAAAACACTTTTTTGGTATCAGGGGACCCCAAAACGTGTATTTTCGTCGACATTTCGAAATCAATTTTCCAAAGCATTACATAACTTTCCATATACTACGTGTATTACTTCGTATACGTATACGCACATATACGGGAAAGTAAAATTCCTTTTGTCAAGTTCAAGCGTAAATAATATTAACCGGCATTTCACAGAGGACAATACAATTTGATACTACTATCTAAACGAAATAGTATAAACCAAAACTTAAAAGTGAATTTTATTGCCATATCTTGTCTATTCTTGAAACTACTTCCATATGTTGCTATTGCATGTTTCTTTTCTATTCAGTAAATGAAATCGAATGACGAGTTTTATTAGTCTGTGGTGCTAAGTTGGAAAATTCCACTTTTGGTGTCGATTTCATGTGGAATGGCGCACTAGTTTAAGAATACAATAATGTTCCCGAATTTGTGCCATTTGTCACCGCCTCGTATATTAATGTTGAAATGGGGTATAGTATTTCTCTGAATTCCACGTAGAATACACTTTGGATGGTATTTTGAATAAAATGTTGTTGTTTTTTGCCTGTCATTTTAACCGTAGTTAAAGTCGCAGGCAAATAAGTATCTGTACTTTTTTATCGAGGTTTGAGAGGAAAACAAGACGTTTCCATTGTTTCTATTTCTCTATTGTTTTCTTTTTTGATACATTTAGAAATGTGTCTTCTTAAATAAATAATTGAAAACTCTGACATATACTCATCATAATGGTTTGATGGGGCTTAAAGCCTTTTCAGCCGTCTTCAATGTTAAAATAATGAGGAAAATGTAATTACCAAATATAATACAAGAAGTAAATAATTACATTATAATTACAGCAACAGAAGGGTTTAAATATTAATTCACAGATTCGGAAGAATGAAGAATCTTTAATCAAAATAATTAAATTAATTGTTAATTGAATTTTTTTGTAGTTTTTCATTGAAAATGTCTTATTTATTGAAGTAATAAAGATGACTGTAACACTTTATGCGCCGTCAAACAATTGTGATGAGACTGTGACTGAGCTTTATATTAACGGGAATCTCACACCACCAACGGGAATCTCCACCTTCGTATTAGTATTAACTATCATTAATATTTTTCTTATTATCTAAGAGTATGTTATCAGACGAAACAAAAACATTACGATTGTTGGAAATCGTTCTTGCTCCTATAATTGGGCTACAAGATAAACTGATTATTTTTCTCCAATGACCAGACTGTTTCTTTTGCAGTAGCGAAGTTGAAATCAACAACCATTCCATATTGCACGTGTTCTTCAAAGACCTTTCATCGATTCGCTTCCGGAGAGACGTGATTTACAGCTGGAACGATCTTGTTGGTAAGTGTTTTCTTAAATGATAGATAATACTTTTCAGAATAAATTAAAAGTAGCAATCCCATCCTAATAAATTATTAAAATATTAGCACTGTGACAATTAACATGGACGGATTACATTTTTTAAGTGTGAATGAATTATGTGCATGAGTTATGTTATTGACGTTGGGGGACATAATATTCCAGTGTGTCTTAAATGTTATTTTATTTTATCTCAATAATACGTCACTCTTTTTTTAAATATCATTGGCTTTTATGTTGTACTTTTTATTAAATATTTCAATTCTTGATATTAAAGTTGAATCTTGCAGCACCTTTATCTTGATATGTGTGGTGTCCCATTCTAACGCCACATCTGGTATTAGAGATGCAGATAACATCGAAAAGCGATCATATGAATTTCCTTAAAAGTCGTTTACACTATGCTGTTTGACAGTTTTGCCTTTTTCTATTCGATGCTCAGCGTCGGCGACAGGGTGGGGTACGCAGCCGCCCCGACACTGAAGTAAGATGGGTTGCATATCTCCCGCTAGAACGTAGGGGAAGTTTTAACTGTAGCATACAATTGGTTCCTCGTAGTTTGTAGTAACATTCAACCCTAACCATCTGCCCACATTCTCGCATTGTTGACTTCCTGCTTACATTGTCTGCGCAGACTTCTCACGATTTAAACTGCGCACTTTTCGGGGATCATTCTGCATTGTCAAATGAGTCTCCTTTTTTTATCCTTATTGTTGTCTATTGGTTAATACGTAGTTCATTTTATGTTTAACTGCTCATTGATGACTTACTAACGTATTAAAGACTAAAAATAATTCACTGGTCCCTATGGACTCGACGAATTTTGTAATGGAACACGGAAACGATATCTGGTTTTGATTCTGATATTCCAGTTGGAGTATTTGATATTATTCAGAGAAGGTGTAGTGGAGGACTATTCTATGCATATATTGGAATTGATGACCGTGGATATTGAATATTATTCTCAGGAAATTATTCTCTATGATTTCTCCTTTATTTAGGTCGTTTTTTTCGATCATGATTTACATTGTCAGGCGTAAAGCAGTAGGGATTTTTGTATGATTTTATGTAGGTTCCATTGCTATTGAGGAATTATGTGGCTTGAGCTATTTCTGTGGATTGTATGTCTTAAGTGTAACAAGTTTATTTTGGTTTATGTTAACTTAACATCCAAATGTTGTTTCCAATTTGGTTTGATGTCGAAGTTTAATCTGAAGTGATTGAGAGGTTTGTGAGAGAATGTCGATTTCTTGTTTATTGTCCAGTGGATGGAAGGTAGAAGGTTTTGGTTGAAAATATTAGTGAAAATATTTTTGCCGCTTTTTTAGTTGATTTTATTTATATTTTTAGTTTGAATATCCACCTATCTAGTAGGTTGAGATGCAATTATATTTTGTTTTTAATTTCACTGAGTTGCTCGGGGTAAAAATTACTACATTTTAAAAGTGAGCTATTTGGATGTTTAGTTTGGTGGATATTTGCGGCTTCATTATAGCTACTCGACAAACAATAAAGTGGCTAATTTGTGTCTATAAACTCACCACTCCTAAAATTGTTTGCTCTTAAGTTAAAACGACTAGTAGACTTATTGTGAATTGCTGTAGGCTTCAAAAAACACACGACAAGATTTAACACACAGTGGAGCTTGAGGGCTATTAATGAGGGTACATGAATTACTTCATCAAGTGCACCTGCGATTCTCTTTTGCATCTAGTGGAAGAGCGCAAGATGTTTAGAGGGCTTCCGCTGGATAGATGCCCCAACAATATTTTAAACAAAATTTTATATTTTTCTCCTAAATATGTAAAAATAGCTGTTGGCATTGACCGCCAAATTGCTTGAAATTTGGCGCCTTGTTTTTTAATACGGAATTTTTGATGTTCTTTGAAGGCATTTCAGAGACTATACGTTACAAACTTGTCGCTTCGGAGATAGTCTTAATTTTTCTCAAAAAGACGTGGGAATTTCTTCTCTGTTGACCAAATACTCATTTCTTTCGTACAAAGTTCCTTGCCGTAGATTGTCAGCTGCTTCCAGTAGTTTGGAGTGTCACCGAAAGATCGCATCAGCTCCTTGTATCAAAATATGTGGAGCATTGTCAAGGGTTCTGAGAATCCAGCGATTTCCAACGAGCTCGCATTGTCATCAGAGGCGAAGTGAAGAAAGCTTAGTAAAAACGTTTTGAACGCCTTCAAGGTTCGATTTAGGGGTGCCTGACATTTATTATTCTAATTGTTTTTCAAATCGCAAAAGTTGTATTTCTTTCTAATTTGATTTGTACGTTTGTTCAGTATTTCAAAATTATTAGCGCTCCTTTGCGTGGCCGTCCTTGAGAGCCCTTAAAATGTTAATCCACCGCTGGGGACCCTCCTCTCCGAGACAAATGAATCTCGGTGGGTGCACCGGCGAAGGAAGCTCAGGGCATCAGCTGATGCCACTGCAGTGCCTCTGACCGAGCGGTCCTTGGATTCGACTCCTGACGGTGGCAGGATTTTCGCCCCTACCTAAATAGCTACGTCGAATTCAGGCGTTGAGAAGGGGGAGAATTCTTATGGCTCTCCTGGGTTTCTTCCAATAACACCAGGCGAATGCCGGAGCAGTAACCTAACAAAAGGGCCACGGATTGCGCACAATCTTGCCTTCCTTGTCCTCTAGTCCCCTTCTTTACACACACTTACACTCTCATGCAGTACACGACCACATACGTCAGGAGGCCAGTCGGGTATTAGAGCTGGGGCGGTGCCCCGCTGGTGTGATGTACCCAATTCGGAGAAACGTCGTTGGCGCCTGATCTCGCCATTCAGCGGACAAAGATCACCGCCACCTCCCGAGCCAGAACGTGCCCCACCCTCAGGGGTCTGCCGACCTCTAGCAGTCGCCCAGTGGCCGGGTGCGAAGCGGTGACCTTGCCGCGGCGCGTGTCGCAGCGTCCTTCGGCGGCATCGTGGGGCTGTTCCTGGGCTGCAGCATGCTCAGCCTCGTCGAGGTGGTCTACTACTTCACGCTGCGGCCCGCGTGCGCCGCCGCCCACGCCCGCCGCCGCCGCCTCCGCCTCCGCCCCCGCC